AAATAGAGCCGTAGAAATCAATTCATCTACGTGAATTCTGCCATAGGATGGATATACAAATTCACTTTATATTATAGAAAATTTTGTAGAATTTATAGAATAAATGCTTGCTTTCTGAGTGTTTGTGTTGTCAGCTGTATTCAGATATTATCAGAATAACAGCATGATCTTATTTTTAATTAAAGACCTTTGGAGGGGAAGTACTTTATAATCCCTTGTCACCGGGTTTCAGGGCAGAACACAAATGAGGCCAGAGGAGATCGCCGGATGGCAGAATGACAGAGTAAAAAGACACTAGAGGGCTTAGTTCAAGACTCAGGTTTGCTACTCCTGTGCTATCTTGGACAAATCCACTTGGATAACCTCAGCCTCTCTTTCTCCATCTATGAAATGAAGGCACCATACTATAGATTCCCTAAGGTGCTTCCAGTATCAAGATTTTCCAAGGTCCATTTAAGAGAGGTCCAGAAAGGGAAGTGTCGCCCCTGAGCCCATGCACTGAGTGCATTAGAAAATGACAGGCACCGGGACTCTAGGCTTGTGCTCTTGCCCCTCCCTGGAGGTTGGCCAGGTCTTCTTCCTCCACTTCCACCAGAAGCAGAGCCTGGCGGGCAGGACCCCAGGGAGGATTCTGCATCAGTGAGGGGAAAACCTGGTCCTCCCAAAGGGCTGGTCACGTTCACACCGCTGATGAGTCTCCAGAGTGCAGCCTGGGCTTTGGGAGTAATCGGGAGGCAGCCCCCCCAACCCGTCTGGGCTTCCTCATGCACAGCGAAGGGGGGTTCGGAGTGGAGTCCTAGCTAAGAGTGGCAGCGGGAGAGACGCCCTGGTTTGCTCAAGGCCTGTGGTGGGCGATAGTAGCTTAATCTCTTAGCTGGGCACCCAGAGGGGCCCAGGCACCCCCCTCTTTCTCCCAGCTCTTGCGAGGATCTTGCAAGGCTCTTCTGGGCCTAATAGTCTAACTTGTTCAGTTCTCTAGAAAATCCCCAGAGAGCTTTCTTCTCTCTCTCCTCGTCACACCCCTCCCTGCGTTAATGCATTTGTTTTGAATTCTCGCTCTTCTGGGCTCTGGGAAGGGATTACAGAGCCCGAAAGGAGGAAGCTGTGATCTCATATCACAGAGCTTGAGCTTCATCATGGAGCTCTGCCTTTCTGGAAGGGCTTGGTGGTCTCGGGGCAGAGCCTGGGGTGGCCTGCTGCCTGCTGAGAATTTTCCAGATGAGGACATCCAGCGTTCTGTGTGAGGTAATAAGATGAGGCACTGCCTCTCAGGTTCTGCTCTCATTAGCCCTACATAGGGACCAGTCCGATTGTCCTTTAGCTCTTAGTGTGTGGAGGCGGGGGCGGGGTGAGGGCAGGACATATATTCCCTTGTGGCCCTTGGGTAAACCCTACAGTGCTTTTGCCAGGGGAGGGAGCCTGTGCATTTCCAGGGTCAGGGCTTGGCATGAATTGGAAGGGGAAAGCAGAGTGCCAGGGAGAGGACTCCGATGTGGGATGGGGACTGGGGACTCCACCCTTCTGTGGGCCTCTTTCCCCCCCTAACAGGGAGGGTACATGGTCGGGTCATTGCAATTCATAATGGTTTATGAGGCCCTTCCTTGCTAAGATGAACCACCCTTTCATCTAGCTCCCCAGCACCTGAAAGTCGTCCTTGAGTAGCAATTCATTTATTTGAAACAAGACACTTCCTTTTCTAAGCATTTTCTTAGAAAATGCAGTTGCCTTTGAGATGGGAGTGTAGGCAGGGCAGATCCTCTTGTGTGAACTAGCTGGTTAGGGGCTTTTCCTTCCAAAAAGAAGTGCCAGGGAGCAAGAGAGCACTGGTCCCCAGTGGGAACGAAAGCCACTAGGAGTGGGAATGAGGCCATCCAGGGCAAAGAGTGGACTTGCAACGGGGGCATTGGGGGACATGCACAAGAGGCTGAAGTCAAAGCTCAGCTGCCTCCCAGGGCAGCTTAGAGTTGTCTCAAATCTTTCAGGACAAGAACTAGGGCTTCCTGCTCCTTCCTTCCCTTCCTTCCTTCTTCCTTTTCTTCACTTCTTTCCTTCTTCCCTTTGGCAAATATTTAAGTGCCAACTAACATGAGAGTCCACATTAGTCTTTGGAATCTCAGGATAAGACCCAGGTCTTTCATCAGAGAGTCTTACGGTCCATCAGAAAAAGACAAGTGTGAAACAATTTGGTCCAGCAGACCGCGGCAGGTGTGCAACAGGGGCAAGTACCCGGCATGGGCTAAACTGCCTACTTCACACAGATTCCTTGATTTTTACACAGTCTCCTTTTTCTGTCCCAGGATCCCGCCCAGGGGAATTACATTAAGATCACATTACATTTAGTCGTCCTGTCTCCTTAGGCTCCTCTTAGGTGTGACAGTTTCTCAGACTTTCCTTGTTTTTAATGACTTTGACAGTTTAGAGGAGTCCTGGTCAGGTACATTGTAGGACAGTTCTCTGTTGGAATTTACATTTTTTCTCACAATTAGATTGGGTTTATAGGTTTAGAGAGGAAGACCACTGAGGTGAAGGGTCATTCTTATCGCATCATGTCCAGGGTCCCTACTAGCAACATGACTTACCACTGTTGATGTTCACCATGATCACCTGGCTGAGGTGTGTTCGTCTGCTTTCCCTCTTCCCTCTTCCCACACTGTGAGTTTTGGAAACCAGTCACTATGCATAGCCCACACGCAAGCAGTAGGGATTTATGTTCCCCCTCCTCCAGGGTGGAGTGTTCATGTAACTTATTAGGAATCCTTCTACATGGGAGATTTGTCTCTTTGCCCCCATTTGTTACTTTATTAAATCATTTACTTGGATCAGGTTGGACTCATGGATATTTGTTTTTTACGTTGAGTTATAATCCAACACTACTGTTATTTACTTTGTTGCTCAGGTTGTTCCAGCTTTGGCCACTGGGGCCTCTTGTGCCCCTTTGACATGTTCGCATCAATGGAGGTTTTTTTGTTTTGCTTTATTTTTTAGCACTTCCTTACCTTCTGTGATTATGGGATGCTCCAGGCTTGTCTTGCATATTTCCTGCCCCAGTCCTAGAATCAGCCATTTCTTCAAGAAGCCCTGGTTCCTCTTACTGGAGAATGGTATTAGAAAACAAGATTTGGGTGCTAGGTGTGCTTGTTGCTACTGGGGTGTTACTTCTTTTTGGATTTCTCTTTTTTAGCTGACAGAACCAAGAAATATGTGTGTGCATGCTTGTGCATGTGCATGCTAACTCACATGCATACACAAACTTACAAGTATTTATGTATGTAGTCATCTGTAGATACAGATATTAAGTTAAACATGAGTTCTTATGTCTCCAACTCTAATCCATTATCACATGATGGAAATGTTGATTTGACCTTGCTGATCTATCAATTTATACTTCAACAGTGGTTCCTACTATCTACCATCAGTTCAGTCAACTGTTCAATTCCAGTGTACATGTATGGCAGGATCAGAATTGTTAACCCCTCAGAAGTTTTGTTTTGTTTTATTCTTTCCTTGGATTAAGCATTCTCAGCTCCTTTAGCCATTTTAGGCCCCATACCATCTTGCCCATCCTCCATCAGTTCTGAGTCTGGATTTTCTATTTCATGGGAAATGAGCACTTTTTTGCAAATAAGGAAAATGAACTCTAGCAAACATTTACTCTGAGCATATGCAAGGCACTGGTTTGAGCACTTTACGTATACAACTCATTTAATCTTCACAACAACCCTATGAGCTTGATACTGATATTGTCCCCACGTTGCGTGAGGAAAGGCTAATAACTTGCTCAAATTCAAACAATTAATGAATAGTGGAGCTTGGATTCAAAATGAAAGAGTATAACTTCAGAGTCCATACCCAGAAACATTATTTTATGTTGCATTGCTGCTAAAAGAGATCTTTCTGAAATACCACCTTGTGCATCTAACTACCAGCCACATAAGCCAACAGTGTTTCCCTGTTGCCCACAGCAGACAGACCTAGTATCTTAGCCTAGCTTTCAGTGCTCTCCACAATCCACAGTCAACCCTCTGCTTTGGTTTAACCTGCACGAGCAGCGCGGCCCTCTGGAACATGCTCAGATACTGTGGTTTCACCTAATCAGCATGCTCTACCTGTCTCTCAAAGCCCAGACCAAGACCCATCCAGTCCGAACAGCACAGCCCACCCCCTCCTCCTGGGCTGATTACATTCACAGTGATCTCCTCTTTGTTGACACTCACTGTCTATGTGCTTAGTTTGATATTTAGTCTGGGTTATATTTGTTAAGGTGCTTGTCATTTATCCGCATAATCTCCCTGCCACATCCTCCGTGACAGCTTGTTATTGGTGATGCTTATGACTCTTAATCTCCATAAACCTACTTGATGGGAAGTTGAACTCAGTGAGATTTGTGATTGCAGTATTTGCTCAGATATCATCAGTGTCCATTTGAGACAGCCACATCCTGCTGATAGCGCACATTAGCAAATTAATTAGCATGGTCTGAGACCATAACCCATGCTCTGTGCAGTCCCCTCTCCCTCAGACCACCTCCCTATTCCAGGAGGTCAAGATGAGGCTTCTAAATAGTTCCCATCACTACAGCTCTGGGGAGGACTTAGCTGGGCTGGATGAGATTAAGTTGGAGTGTTAGACCCAGCTGTTATTTCAGTGGGGCAAAATTTTACACAGGTGGACCTGGCCCCAGCTGTGTTTCTCTGCTTTGGAAAATGTCCTTTGGTTCCGTAGGGGAGATCTGAAGGAAGGAAAACCCCTGGGTTCTGCTTCAAAGAGCAGAAAACTTCGATTCAAGCTGTAGCCTGTTGTTTGCAAAACTTTAGTCATTTCAGTATAACCTACATGATTTTTGCCATAATGACATAGGACTCACATTCTATTTTATTTTTTTTACTTAAATTTTAATCTCTTCCTAAATAATAATAGTCACAAAATTACAGGTTCATTAGAACCTGTACAGTTGCAGTTTTTCAACTAGATATTAAAATAAACACATAACCATTCGATACCTGTTTATCTGTATACCGCATGCGGTGTGTTGCATTTCTCCACAGTGCGCTTACCACCCTTGGAAACACACGGTGCTGGTGGTTTGGTCTTCTCTTCCCCATCGCTTCCTAGATGTGATGTCTCTTCTGACAAGGTCACTGGTGCTCTGCTGGGTTCCACTGTGGCACCTTTGGAGCCACATCGAGGGAGAAAGAGTTCTGGGCAAGGCTATAGGCATTTCTTTTCTAAAGAATGAGAGCAGCTCGGCTTTTATTCCTTCCTGTATCCAGGGATTTTAGTTAAGCTTTTGTTTGAAGAAAGGGTTATATTGATTTTTTTAAGAGTGTGAAAAGCACAGGACAAGTCAGTCCAGCATTAACACTTCTGGAAAGATCATTTGTTTGGGTGGCCATCCAGTCATACATTCACTGAGTTTCTTGGAGCTTCTCTTAGCTCTTCTAACTTAGGGGTCAGGAGAGCTGGCTTCAAGTGTATCTTGTTTATCGTAATGAAACAAAATGAATTTCCAGGTAGCTTGGGATGAAGCCGTGACAAGTACTATTCTAATTCTCTGCCACTTGATCCAGGTTGAGAGTAAGCCTTTGATCCAGGTCCAGAAGCCACCTTCCAATTCCAGGAACTCCAGAATGACCAGATTCTTGCATAAGGTAGGAAGTAATGCTTGATGCCTTTTCTCTAGCCTTGAGAATGAGGGCAGGTGGATGGCCAGGGTAGTTTTTAACAGGCATTTTTGGTCAAGTCAGCATAACATGATCAGAGTACTCTATCCACATCACCATGCTTCAACTCCACAGTTTTAAATGTTGCTATTTACTGATAGTCAGATTACCTGTCTCCCAATCAATCAATCAATCAGTGCAGGAGGGCAGGATCCAAGTAAGTGGGTCAAGTCAATAATGTAGCCATAGAGGAAACGGGAGCTTGTGTGGCACGGAGGAAGGTTTGCACTGTATAGCAGAAAGTCCCCGCATTAGGGTGGGAAGACATTGGAATGATGATAATGATGGCTAGCATGTATGGAATACTCCACATTGCTTGACTCATTTACCTCACAAAAGCCTTATGAGGTAGGTCCCATTGTTGTCCTCATGGTAGTGATGAAGTAGTTGAGGCTTAGGGAGTCAGTGTGACCTGCCACAGGTCTCCGCCTAGTAAGTGGTGGAGCAGGATTCAAACCCAGAGCCCATGTGCTTGATTACTCTGCTGCCCTGAAATCTGCTTTTCTCTCCAGGAACTTAAGAATAGGTTTAGGTCCAGATTTGGGTTAGGCTCCACCTTGTTGCGGGAAAGAGGCTAGAAGGAATGACTCTGAAGACATTTTCTTGCCTGAGGCTTCTGTAACTTACCCGGCTTCTCCTTCTGTAGAACACGAACACCAGCGTCACTTCACTCCCCTTCGTGGACAACAAGGAGAAGAAGACTATGGTCAACTTCCCAAGCATCAGCAACAAAATCCTGCAGAAGCCACCTCTGCTGTATCAGGTGAGTTCCTGGCAGCGGACATGCTCTTGAGCACGCAGGTGAAAGACCTGGTTTTAGTCCAAACCAAGTTTAGAAAGGCCCAGGACAGTGGGGACATGCACCGTGTCAGCTTAAGAGTTGAGTTCTAGTCCTGATCTCACTTTTTAAATTTTTTTAATTTTTATTTATTTATTTATTTTATTTTAACGTATTATGAAGGTACATGTGTTAAGATTACATATATTGCCCATGCCCCCCTCCCCCCTTGAGTAAGAGCTTCAAGCATGTCCATCCCCCAAACGTTGCACATCTTACTCATTGTAGTTGTATATACCCATCCCACCCTCCCGACACCCGATAGATGTTACTCCTATATGTCCACTTAGGTGTTGATCCGTTGATATCAATTTACTGGTGAGTACATGTGGTGCTTGTTTTTCCATTCTCGAGATACTTCACTTAGTAGAATGGGTTCCAGCTGTATCCAGAAATATACAAGAGGTGCTATATCACTATTGTTTCTTAAAGCTGAGTAGTATTCCATGGTATACATATACCACATTTTATTAATCCACTCATGAATTGATGGGCACTTGGGTTGTTTCCACAGCTTTGCGATTGTGAATTGTGCTGCTATAAACATTCAAGTGCAGGTGTCTTTTTCATAAAGTGACTTTTGATCTTTTGGGTAGATGGCCAGTAGTGGAATTGCTGGATCAAATGGTAGATCTACTTGTATCGCTTTGAGGTATCTCCATATTGCTTTCCACAGGGTTGAACTAGTTTGCAGTCCACCAGCAATGTAGGAGTGTTCCTCTCTCTCCGCATCCACACCAGCATTTGTTGTTTGGGGACTTTTGGATAAAGGCCATTCTTACTGGAGTTCAGTGATATCTCATTGTGGTTTTGATTTGCATTCCCTGATGATTAGAGATGTTGAACATTTTTTCATGTTTGGTTTGTATCTGTCTTCTTTTGAGAAGTTTCTGTTTATGTCCTTTGCCATTTTTGAAGGGTTGTTTGATTTTTTCTTGCTGGTTTTTCTGATTCTAAATAGATTCTAGTTATCAGCCCTTTATCAGATGTGTAGCTTGCAAAAATTTTCTCCCATTCTGTGGGTTGTCTGTTTGCTCTCTTGACAGTTTCTTTGGCTGTGCAGAAGCTTTTTAATTTGATCAGATCCATTTGTTTATTTTTGTTGCTGTTGTGATTGCCTTTGGGGTCTTCTTCATAAATTCTTTGCCTAGGCCAATGTCTAGAAGAGTATTTCCAACATTTTCCTCTAGCATTCTAATAGTTTCACAGCAAAGGTTTAAGTCTGTTACCCAGCGTGAGTTGATTTTTGTGAGAGGTGAAAGGTGTGGGTCCTGTTTCAGTCTTCTACATGTGGCTATCCACTTTTTACAAGAAATGTAAATGTAAGCAAGTAAGTCGTTGACCTCCTCTCATCTACAAAATGGGCTCTCTGTAGGGTTGTGGCGAGGATTCACCTAGGAAAGGAAAAATGAAGTTCTGGTGTATAAATGGTGGAAGTATACGAAATATTGATTTCTTCCCATGTCACCTACTTTTTGTGTGTGAGGGCCAAATGAGATAACGTGGGAAAGTGCCAAGTTAAAGAGTGTTAAACACACATAAATTCAAGTTTATGTGCCTTTGCGCGAGTCGCTTTATCTAGTTGTGAACTGGGCTTTTCAAGAGCAGCGGTAAACACTGCTCCCGTCTCTTCCTACAGACAGCGGGGTGCCACCGGGCTCGCCAGCCACTTACTGTGCTGTGCACGGGCCGAGCCTCTCGGGGAAGATGTGAGTCAGACAGATACTTCCTTTGGGAGACAGACTGGGACACCTTCTGTCGCTTAGTTACTGTTTTCTCCCTAGAGAGGTAGAAAAAGAGCCTGGCTGGATGTGGGTGTCCTTGGCCAGATAAATGGCTTATGATGGCCAGGAGAAGCCTAAGTGGCTCTTTATTGCAAACCTCTTTTCCCGGACAGGAGAGTCAAAGTCACAATCCGATGCCATCCTCTGAGCTCCAGGTTTCAGAAATGCCTCTGCACCCTACCATTAAAATCCAGCACCCCAAGTCGGAGGAGAAGACACCAAGGAAGCACAAGGTGCCTCTGACAGCGGCAGGTACGCCTTTGGGCAGGAGCAGGGTACGCGGGGTGGCTCTGAGGGTCAGGGCATCGTAGCTGAGCTGGAGGGGGCTAAGCTGCCAGGTGCCCGAGAAGAGTAGTCGATTAAGGCACTGAGCCAAAATGAAAGTAGAAGTCACGCCTTTAATCTCTTCCTGAGATCGTGTAAGCAGGAGGCTAAACAGGGGAAACGCCAGCTCCCCACAGTTCCGTTTTTCCCCAGGGGACACTAGGCCCACTGAGGTGTATCAGCACCAAGGGCTTGTCTGCTGCCTCCGGGCCCAAACTAAAGGTTCCTGTTCATGTTATGGCCCAGGGGCCAGGGGGAAGGAAGTGAGCGGGGAAGAGCTGGGAGTGGAAAAGTACTGAATGCTGATTCAGAGCAGGGCAGAGGGGGCTGTATAGCAGCGCGGCCAGCAGGGGCTCCGGCCTTGGCTGCAGCTGCCTGCCATGAGGCCTGCCAGGTAAAGCCTTTGTAATTGCCCTTGGCTGGGCCCAAAAGTCACAGAGAGGTTTTTGACCAGGAGCCAGACTCCCCACAGGGTTCAATGACTCATAACCTGTTAGGATTCAAAGGAAGAGAACCCAAATCCACTGCACACCTACTGTGTGCCGGTGGGACCTGGCCGGTGGGACCTGGCTGGTGGGACCTGGCCGGCGTGGAGAAGAGAAGCGCTGACGCACAGTCCCTGCTTTTCCTGGGGTGCTTGCTGGCTCAGGCGGATCTGTGCGGATATGTGTGGTAGTACCCCGGGCCTTTTAAGTTGCATTTATGTTGCCTCTCTGGCCCCTGGGGACATTATAGTTTTCAAACCCTCTCAAGATAGACTAGCTGTGGAGCCTAGTAATTCTACATGAACTTGGGAAAATGCTACCTTAACTTCTGGAATTTTTACCCATGCTGCTCTAACCCACTGGTCTTTGGGGACTGAATACTCCCCTTCCCTGCCTGTGTGTTTTCCTTTTGGTTTGTTGAAGTCAGTACAAGACCTTATCACATTCCTACCTTGGGAGAGTCACACTGGAGCCTGGGGGCAGGCTGATGGCCAGGAGCTGGAAGGGGTGCCCTCACCGGGGCTCCAACTCAACTGATGACTCTAGTGTTTTTCGTACAGAGGCCCTCAAGCTTTTTAAGAAACAGCTGTCTGCTTATGAGCAAAATGAAATCCTGGACTACACAGAGATATGGTTCCTGGGGCTTGAAGCCCAGAAGCTCAACGTGGCTGTTGAGAAGTTCAGCAAGACAAGTTTTGATGACGAACACGGCTCCTATATGAAGGTGATGGGGAAAGGGGCACCAGGACCTCAGGGGGACTGGGAACAAGAGAAAGTCGAAAGGGAAAAAGCAGGGGTGTTTTATTGAGTTTGGTGCTGGTATATCAGGGACTAGACGTCCTGAGGAATTCTAGTAGGTGCTAAACCAAAGAAATACCATGTTTATAAATGGGGAAACATGCAATTTAGTATGTAACATACTCTGCTGACAGAAGACTGATTTCCCCCAAGAGCATTTGGGGTAACAGGCTTGCATCCTGGGTAACCTCCCACAGCCACCTCCCCTGCGTGGCCCGTTGACAAAAGCCAGACAGAAGTAAGATGCCATCTCCTCAGCATTCCCTTTTTTATCTCATTACAAGCCCATGCATGGATGCTTTTCTGTTTCATAGGAGATGTCATTTCTCCCACAGACAAAAGATGTTTTTGTCACTGCAGTCCCTGGTGCATAGTGCTTAATGTCACTGTGTTTTTCAGAAATTGATCCCTGTAACTCCTCTTCTGGCTGTACCCTTGGGCTGCCCCGGGCGGTGCCTCTGCCCAGCCTGAAGGGAAATCGGGCAATGGTTCCCCACTTCTGGAGGTGCCTGGAGGTGTGGTGCTTAGTCCTCTAGGCTGCAGGCTTCTGGGAATTTCCTCTTCTGGATGTTTCACTGCGGCTTGGTTTTAGGGGACAGATGAGTCTTTGATGGCTTTGTAGAAAAAGTAGATTTTCTTAACAGCATTTAGGGCTGTGTTTATCAAGCTTTGCTATGCACGAGAATCACTTGGGGATCTTGCTTAAATGCAGATTCTTTCCTGGCAGGTCTGGGGTGGGGCATGAGATTGTGCATTTCTGAAGAGCTTCCAGGTGATGCCCGTGCTGCCGGTCCTTAGAGCACACTTTGAGAAGCAAAGATTTAGTTTCTGTCACACAGCTCTGTCTAGAGCCCTGTTTCCCGACATTCTTAGGTCAAGAATCCCTTCAGGAGTCTGATAAAAGCTATGGGTCCTCATCCCAGAAAAGGCAACCTGCACGTGCACAGAGTTTTAGGGGATTAGTCAGTCCTTGGTGAAGAACCCCCAACACAAACCTAACCTCCAGTTAAACCAGGCCTTCCCCACACCCCCACCTGAGCCCAGAGTCTCTGGGAAATTCCCTAGTGGTCTCAGCACGACCTTTAAGTTAATTCACTGGAGCTCAGTTTCTCAGTGTCAAATCTTGGCGAGCTGTGTTTTGGTGGGGAGAGAGGGATGCTGTGTGCCTCTGTACGCTCGTAATCTCGTCCCTGTTGCATTCCACTGCACACACAGTGCACCCATCCCTCACCCCTCCCAAACCCTGAGTGTAAGCTCCAGAAATCAGATTCACAGAGCTTGGGGACCTTACAGATCATTTTATCCAGAATCTTCAGTGTACAGATGTGGGCACTGCAGCTCAGAGTGGATGAGTGGCTTGTCTGAAGCCACCCAGCTGATGTCTTTTTAACTGAAAATGTTCTGTGGCTTTGACTAAACACCCCTCCCTAGTTTCCAGCACGGGAGGGACACAGCGATTCTGGGTCTTGGAAAATATTTCTCTTCCTATTCAAGAAAGGTCCAAGTTCTGTCCTGCTCACTCCAGGATAGGATTAAATCTGGCTAAGTCCAAGGGAGAAACAAATCTGGCCAGGAAGAGGTGGAGCAGACGTAAAGCCTTCTCTGACTGATGCAGACACATCACGGGTCAGAAATGGAACTTTCCTTAAGCTGGAGCTGTTGCTCAAATTCAAGAGTCATGAAATGTCCAAACTGGAAGGGACCTTCAGGGCCACTTTGTACAACCCTCTTACTTTACAGGTCCTAAGACACGCAGAAAACCAGAAGACCAGGACTAGAACCCATGTTCCCAACGACCATCCAATCTTCTTTGCCCTGCTTGACATGGATCAAGCCTGTGGGACTTACCCTGGTACCACGTGGGTGGCCTGGGAGCCAGGTGACAACCTAGCCATTGTAGTAGCCGTGAGATGAGGTGGGGCCCCTGGGACCCCAGTGTCAGGGAAGCCCTCCAGCCTGCAGCTCTGCTCCTCACCCTGGCCTGGCTTCTGCAGGTCCTGCACGACCACATTGCCTACCGCTACGAGGTCTTGGAGATGATCGGGAAAGGGTCCTTTGGACAGGTGGCCAAGTGCTTGGATCACAAAAACAATGAGTTGGTGGCCCTGAAAATCATCAGGAACAAGAAGAGGTGTGGCTTGGTGGGTGGCATAGGCCCTAGAGGAAGGACAGCATGACTCTGGCCCCTTTGGAATTCCAGCCCTTCCTGACTCCACCTCTCCCTCTGATATTCCTCTTCCTCCTCCTCTCTCTCTCCCTACCTTTCTGATTCCATGAACGGGCAAAGAGGAGGCGAGAGTGTGGTATTTTTAGAGTTTTAGTGCTTGCTGCCACCCTAGACAGTCTTGTTGGAGCATGGGGAGGGCTGAATGTGGTGGCATGACATGACATGACACCATGTTCTACCCCCATGTCCCCCTCCCGCCCCTGGCAACTCACCAACCTCCTCAGGTTTCACCACCAGGCCCTGGTGGAGCTGAAGATCCTGGAAGCTCTCAGGAGGAAGGACAAAGACAATGCCTACAACGTGGTGCACATGAAGGACTTCTTCTACTTCCGCAATCACCTCTGCATCACCTTCGAACTCCTGGGGTCAGCTGCTTTTTCTTAACTCATTTATGTTTTAAAAAGTTGCTTAAGTGGTAGAAGAAACCTTTGAGGTCAGAACAATAGATTTTTCTGGTTGTGAATATTTAATGACTAGAGCGGACACAACAGCCACTCAGTCATCTAGAAGGCCCCAGGAGCAAGGAGGCTGGGACAGAAGCAGTCCATCTCATGCCTCCTTTGCTGGGCCTGTCACCTGCCAGCGTACCATGACACTGCACACAATGGTGCGCTGCTGTGTGCTGAGCCTGCTGACATGACCAAAACAAGGCCTCTGCCCTCCAGAGCTAAACTGAAATATGGAGAAAATACTCTACTCATTGGCTTCCCAACCCTATGGTCCAGAGGTTGGAACCCCAAAAATGGGCAGCTGGCTGCTCAGAGTGGGGAGAGGGCTTGATTTTGAGCAGATAAGGACAAGAGCAGATATATTTGGCATGAGAGCAGAACCTGACTTAAATAGATTGGCATCGGCTGGCTGAAGATGGGAGCTGAAAAGGCCCTCTCATCGGAAGGACGTGCTAATTTGATTATTTTTCTCTCTGAGATCATCTGATGCAATTTAAACAAAACTAGAAATCCAGAATGCATTTAGCAAAGGGGATAATCAGAGCGAACTCTCAGAGGTCCAGTGTTATTGGAGTCAGCAAGCTGGCAGCTTAGCACTCCCATGACACCAGTGCTGATGGGGAGATTCTAGAAACTGGCTAAACTTGGCTCAGAAGGAAAGCTGACACTCACCATCATCACTGGTGATTACAAAATGTGGTCTACCCCCCAATATGCAGAGGCAAACTGTGTTCTCTGCAGCCAAGCAGACAACCCAGGCTGTGTTCTCTTGGCCATGAGTCACAGTGCACAGTTAGGATGTTACTGTCCTTAAAAGAGTTCTGGGGGGTCCAGAGGGGCAGGGGTGTGGAAGGACAATCCAAAGCCCAGAGAGGTGGGGAGTTGCTCACGGTCAAGAGTTGGGATGGAGCCAGAGTCAAGTGTCACCTCTATCCCCATTGCACCCCTCATAAACGAATGGCTTTCCGAACACTGCCAGAGTTCAATGACCTTAGAGATGGGAGGTTAGTAGGAACCAGCAAGATTCAGAGTCACTTTTGGGTCATGCTCTTTCCCTTCTCTCCCCATCTCACAGTTTGCACCGAGGGCACAACTGGCAGCTTACAAATACGTGTTTCTTTTTGAAATGATTTGTATTAATTTGCAACATTTGTAAATCATTGGATTTCATATACTAAGGCAGGCTTCTCTATAATATTGCAGGCTTCTGCCATCTTGGAGAATTTAGGGTTGTCTGGCAACAGTCAGATGGGACCAAGCATCCACCTTGCCTGGGTGGAGGAGAGGCTGTCTGTCTTGCTCAGCCCCGTGTGCCCAGGCTCTCGCCCCCTTGCTTCTTGGGAGCCTGGAGGCCTTAGACAGCCTTAGTAGGCCCGGGCAGGAGTGGCTGCTGGAGTGACTAGCAGTCTTCCTGAATCCCTCCCAAGGGCCTGAAGAACTATGAATATCGCAGAGGTTTGGTCCAACCTCTTAACCCACACATGTAATAAAGTGCTTCAGTGGCCTTGTCACATCAGAAATGAGGGGATATCCAAGAGGCCAGTTGAACTTGAACCTGGACCCACCATAACTCAGTGGGGAAGCCAGATTCCTAGGATAGGAAAGCGCTGCCTCCTGGCCTGAGGCTTGCCTACTATGAGAGGGAAACCACCCCGCACAGATTGTTTGCAAATGGAAACTCAGCATTAAACTTTTTGCACCAATATGCATCACTTTCCCCCCCTCTCTTTCCCAGAATCAACTTGTATGAGTTGATGAAGAATAACAGCTTTCAAGGCTTCAGTCTTTCCATAGTTCGGCGTTTCACCCTCTCTGTTTTGAAGTGCTTGCAAATGCTTTATGTAGAGAAAATCATTCACTGTGATCTCAAGCCTGTGAGTACAACCTCTGTCCTGTCACGCAGGCAGGTTCCCACCTGTGGAAACTCTTTGTCCTATTGCATTCATTCCCCAGAGGCAGCTGGGGCAGCCAGCGCTTCTGGGGTGGAAGCCTCGCAGTGCAGTTTGTAGGCTGTGTGAGCCCGGTGAGCTGCAGGGAGACACACCGAAGGCACAGTGTTGGGGAAATGAAGAGAGATGTGGTCTGAGCGAGCCAGACAGGAGCAGGAAGGTCTGAGGGCTTTCCTAGGGAGGGCTTGGCGGGGTGTGTGTGTGATGTCTTGAGTATCAAGAGGTACAGTAAGAAGTCCTGGGATTCTGGGTTTACCCTTTTTCCACTTTCTCAGTGGGAAAAACAATGGTCACCTGTAGCCCTTAGGCGCTCTGCTGAGACCTTGAGTTCTCCCTTGTGTGTTCTGCGGTGACATGTGCCACCAGACAGATGGGCTGCCCAACTCTTCTAAAGCCTCACTGTGCCCACTCTACTCTGAGTTGGTCCTAGGGTACTGCAAACCTCAGACCTCTTTCTCTACCCCAAATGGAAGGGAGCTTGCTACATGTCCTGCTGGTATTCTGTCTAAGCTCTGTTACTGCACTAATGGCTTGTGTAGGAATTAATCTTTTATCCATATGCCGCACTGAACTGCAAGCTCTTCCATGGTCAGACACCTGTCTTTTCACTGTTTTGTCCCCAGGACCTGACATGGTGCCCAGTAGTTGTAATGGTAGGCTATAAGTAAACGCTTGTTAAATGACTTAATGATTGCAAATGTGAGGAGGTCATACAGAAAGATAGCTAGGGGCAAAGTATAAGGAGCTGGTTCCAAAAGCAGCCTGATCCTCACAGTTATGTAAATATCCCTTGCCTTTTTTTCACTTCGGTCTTCCTGCCTTTTCTTCACTTCAGTCTTCCTGTCCCCAAAAATAGTTTAAAAAATTTTTTTGAAGACTGTAACTCATTGCAAATTTATAATTGTCAAGTTAGAGATGTTCTCTCAAAGAAGATTGGTAGAACCTCATGAGGACAGTGGTGCATTCATTTATTCTCTACATCCAAATTCCTAACCCTCAGCTTTGCAGCTCTTATGAGTCACAACAGCTGTGGTCTTCGGGCTTAGGGGACTGACTCTTACCAAAGAAATCCATAAGACACCTGATAGCCAAAGTATCAGGTAACAAGTTTCCTCCAAGAAATATTAATAGATCAAGTAGCTTGATATAGGAATATGGGTGCCCCTGGAGGGAAGTGTGCACACAGCCAGGAGAGTGTTTTGTGAGTGTGGAGTCAAGAATTAGGGAATTATTCTCTCTCAATGAATGGTATCAATGAGCCATGATTACTATTGCAACCATTCGTTCTACAATGCCAGTAGATGAGAAGGCCAGCCCTTCTAGTTAGCAGCCTTTACATTGCACTAGAGACACGCTAAAGAGTCCTGCTCTTTGAAGGCTTCTCCTGATTATCCTCCTCCAGTTAATACAGCATTCTTTAGAAAAGGGACTATTGGCTAAATTTGCACTTTCTGACTTTGTGGTGCCAGGGGCTTCATGCCAGGCATGCTAGGCCATATCTACCATGTCAGGGCACTTAGTACAAATCTCATAATTAGTTCATCTGATACTGAGATCCAGAAAAACATGATTGGGACTGGAATCTTCAGCCTTAGCCAGTGAGCTTTCATGCTCAGAGGAGAGCCCAGAAGCTCTGTCTTCTTATTGCTGACTCTATTGAAATACCTGGTTCACATTTTCCCCATAGTCAGCATAAGAATCACAAATCCCAATCAAAACATTGCCTTTTTTTTGTGGTCTACTGTCATAGCATTATGTTAGTGGGGGCATTTAATGGAAATGTCAAACAGATACAGTCAATGACATTTCTAAGACCTTATGCAAGCAAGGCCTAGAACCAGGTGCCAAAGAGGATAAAAAGAAACTTGTACTCTTCAGGAGTTATACAATCAATATGGGGAAAGAGACAAAACACATTCAAAAGGAACTCTGCAAAGCAGTGAAAACTAGATCCAAATAAGAGGTGCAGACCACAAGTCAAATGGAAAGGCAGAGGAAGGGGAGAGTGGTGAGATTTGGGGGAAGATGTGGAAGGAGGCCTTAGCAGGTGGACGTGTGTGAATTGAACCCTGAAGGATGGGGAGTATCTAGGTAAGCTGCAAGCCTGGGGCGGCACTGTTACAGCTTGCTGTGCGTCTTTTCTTCTCTCTAGGAAAATATAGTGATACACCAAAAGGGTCAAGTCTCTGTTAAAGTCATTGACTTTGGATCAAGCTGTTATGAACACCAGAAAGGTAGGCCCCTGCCTGTTCTTTGTCTGAGCTTCCTGTTGCATTTCTCTCCCTTCACACATGGTCACTTGGGTTCTAGCCTGGGCTCAGCCAGCACAGCTGCCGGTTTTTTTTGAACAAAGTGCTTTACTTCTTTGAGCATAAGTTTCCTCATCTATAAAATGAGAAAGTCGGGTTCAAATACCATAAGGGCCCTTTGAAGCTCTCATACTCTGTAGAAGTTGAATTACCCAAGAGCACTGGGTCCCAAAACTAACTAGATGTGTATCAGGATCACTTTGGGGCTCTGAAAAATTGTAGTTTCCAGGGCCTCACCCCAAATGTACTGAGTCCAAATTTCTGGGGAGTAGCTAGGAGTCTGCACTTTGGAAAACATAAACATTCTAAAGTTTGGAATTTACTGCCATAGATTCCTAAGTTTTATACTTGTTTCCAAGCTTGAGTCCGTAAAGCAGCTCTGGAGTACACTTTGCATAGCCTGTACTGAACCTGATTTGATAATCTGTTCCTTTGGCTTCTGTCAGGTGTGACACAGAGAACATGTACCATTCAACAAACATTTATTGAGCATATGCTATGTGCCAGCCACTCTCCTGGGTACCAGGAACAAAACACGAACATTTCCTGTCCTCAAGTTGCTTAGGTCCAATGCAAGAGGCAGAAAGAGAAAAAAATAATGCGAGCTGGGCATAGTGGTGCATGCCTGTAGTCCAGCCTGGGTGACAGAACAAGACCCTGCCTCTAAAACATTTTTTTCAAAAATGATACATAATAAAATGAATGTAATAATTGAACATAGGCTATATTCAGGGCACACAGAAGAGGGACTTGGGGACCAGCCTTTATGGTGGCAGGGGGTGTCAGGAGAAGCCTCCCGAGGAAAGGACTACCAGATGGATGTTTCCAAATACTCTGCAGAACCACTTCTGAGAACATACGTCCTTTATATCTTCTATGTATGAATCCTATAAAAAAATTCCAGCTAGAAAACAATGCTTCCGGCAGAGATCCTGTGTGTTTATGTTTCTAAGATATTGAAAACTGTGTAACCTGTTAGTTACCATTTATCTTGGCTGCCAGGACGCTCAGAACTGACTTTGCAATTATTTTGTCCTTGTTTTTTTGACAGTTATTAATATTTCCCCTTTTACATACTTGTTGACGTCCCTGTTATCTTCATTTTAACTGTGAGGCAGTATGGAGTGTGGATGCTAGAATTGGACTGCCTGATTTCAAATCTTAGCTCTGTCACTTATAGCTGAGTGACCTTGACAATTTATTTAACCTCTGTATGCCTTAATTTACTCATATTTAAAATGAAGGGAATAATACTCCTTGCTGCATAGGATTGTTGTAAGGGTTGCAAGAGCTCATCTATATAAAGCACTTGGAATGGTGCCTGGCACCTGTTAAGCACTAGGTAAATATCATTAAATTCATGTTCTAAGACACTCTGTGCTTTACAAAGTACCTCAAATCCATTTGGGAAGCAGATAAAGTATAAAAGTTACTTTTATTACACCTTTATTTTTTTTAAAATCACAGAGTTATTATGTCCCTAAAACAACCAATTTAAACAACAGAGAAGTGAGCACAGAGTCTCTGCCCCTCAGGTAACCACCAATACAGTTATGTAGAAATAAGTATGATGTCCCATTTCTTCAACTTTGGTCTCATCTATAAATTCTAGTCTCCCTACAATGCTGTCTTCTATTCATCCTCATCTGCTGAGATTTTGTTGAGCTTTTCTTTCTATACTTCATATTATATAATAAATATACATCATACTTTGCATATACATTTTTATTTTATTTTTGAGACAGAGTCTCATTTTGTCACCCTGGTTAGAATGCAGTGGCATCATCAGAGCTTACAGCAATGTTAAACTCCTGGGCTCAAGCAATTCTCCCGCCACAGCCTCCAGAGTAGCTGGGACTGACTATAGGCACGCACCATCATGCCAGCTACTTTTTCAGTTTTTTGCAGAGACAGAGTCTGGCTCTTGTTCAGGCTGGTCTCGAACTCCTATCTTGGCTTCCGAGAGTGCTGGGATTACAGGTGTGAGCCACCATGCCTGGCTTGAATATACACTTTTAATTTTGCATGCTTCCTTTCCAATTCTGATATGCCTCCTCCCTTGCCAAATCTCAATACTCTCAGATGTCTGCCTCAAATTAATCTGACAGTTTGAAAACTTAGTCTGATGTTTTGTTTCTTTATTTTAAATTTGACTGACTTAAATTCACTTCCCTAGAACAATACCTGGTTTGGAATCCCTTATCAATAAAGTGGCACAATAACACCTCCATCGCAATCAGCTTGCTGTGAGGATTTGTAATGATAGGTAATGCAGCTCGTCAGTGCCAGCCGGGGGCACTTCCCTCTCCTTGCAAAGCCCATAGCGTTAGGTGCGGGGCCGTCTAAATTATTGGCCACCACCCATTGCAGAGGTGCCCTGGAGAAGAGTGTTCTGGGGAGGAGGAGGTTTTCCCATGTAAGTGTCTCTCTCTTTGCCCCGCAGTATACACCTACATCCAAAGCCGGTTCTACCGATCCCCGGAGGTGATCCTGGGCCACCCCTACGACATGGCGATCGACATGTGGAGCCTGGGCTGCATCATGGCGGAGCTGTACATGGGCTACCCTCTGTTCCCGGGGGAGAACGAGGTGGAGCAGCTGGCCTGCATCATGGAGGTGAGGGAGGGGCTGTTAAAATAAGCTCCATGTGTAAAAACATGTTTTCTGATGAGTTATCATTAAAATACAACTAGTGTACACATTTTGATAATTATCAAGAATAAAATGTGAAGTTTTATGGGCATACATATAGCTCTTAGAAAAATGGATAGAGCTGGATTTTCTCTTTTTCCAGTCAATGCACGTACTTGTAGGTGAATGTTACTTGTTGCGAGAACGCACAGGCTCAGCATCAATGCCGTTCCAGTCGGTTGGAATGGAGATGTGAGCTCAAGAAGGAACTTTGTTCTTTGATGCTTCCTTCTGAGTTCTATATAAGAGTCAAATAGACATCTGTAATCAAAAATTGTTTTTCCCAGCCTAGCAGCTGACAACCTGATCACAATGTTGCTGAAAACAAAGAATTGGAACTTATCTGACTTACAAAAAATATGTATTATTCAGTCACTAATCATTTACTAGCTTACGTTTCTGGGAACTCCATCTCTTGATGACAAGGCTTGACCAAGATGCAGCATAGGATTGTTCATTATATTATTATTCTTTCACTTAAAAGAATCTTGTTATGGAGCTAAATTAGACAAAACAAGGGAAATAACCCCAAAAGGTTGGAAATTTCACATTTTAGGATTTTCCCATTGAAAAAAGATCTATCTATGTGTGTGAGACACACATACCCTTGTGTGTCTCACACAAGGGTATGTGTGAGTTATTAAATATAGATATGTGTGAATTATTAAATATAGATGTGTGTGAATTATTAAATATAGATAATTTTTAAATTATCTATATTATTAAATATAGATAATTTCACTTCATAGCTGAAACAAATGATTAAATATAAGATAATTTAGGTAAAAATAGCCATAAATAGTACCTACGGTAGAATGAACACTGGCCTGGGAGTCGGCAAACCTGGGGTCCAGCTCTGGCTCTTTTTGGCAAGTCAGTTCCCCACTCTTGACTGTAAAACGAGGGGATTGGAGTAGATGGCTTCTAGGATTGACAATGAATGATTTTATGAAGCACCTCTGAATCATTCCTGCTTCCAGTATTAAGGAGAAGGGGGCCTAGGGGTGGAATTCATTTCCTACTGCCCCAGAACTGACTCAGCTTCCTCCTGGCCTCAGGGTCAGTGGGGCTGAGGGGCAGGAGGGCAGGTCACGCCCGGACTCTGGCTGGGAGCCTGGCAGCTGGGGTACATGACCCAGGCTGTCATTTCTCTACCACTGTGCACCCCTGTAAGTTTCAGCAGGGGAAGGTGAACAAGTCTGTGCTCTGTTTTTCTTTGCAAGAAGATATTTTGTCTTATCGTGGTCTGATCCCCATCAAATGATTTCCATCTCCTTTTGCTCTCCTCCCTTGCCAGTGCTCCATGCTGGGATATGTCATTCCTTAACTCAGGCATGGTGGCACGCACACTAGTTTATGTGCTCTGACAATGATATCTAGCTGCTATCAAGGGTGTCTGCCTCTAGTGGGTGCTGACACCTGTTTGGAATAATACGGCCAGTGTCAGTTCCAGCCTCTGGGTCTGCTCTGCCACTAGCTTGATGGTATCACTTCCTATCTGTGGGGCCTTATCTGTAGTAGGCAAAGTGTGACCAAAGTCCCCTCTAGCTCTAACAGTCTTTGAATGTGTGACCCCACAAGGAGTGAGCCAACTAAATTGTACTTACTGAAGGTGCTGGGCCTGCCGCCAGCCGACTTCATTCAGACGGCCTCCAGGAGACAGACGTTCTTCGGTAAGTCCTCAGGCCTCTCTCTTCCTTGCTGTGTCTAACGAGGCTTCACAGGCCTTGAAGACACCTCACATATCCTAAACCTCATTTAATGCTTTCCCTGTGACCCCATACCAAAGGGCAAGCTGTGATTAGGAGCTTCTTTTGGAAAAGTAAAAAGGTCATGAGAAGTTGAACCAGGTAGCATGATCAAGATGGGACGGGGGTGCCAACCTGGGAACACGGCCTTGGCAGTAAGAACGTACCAAGACAGGGGAATGACCAGGTTTCTGCTCAGAGGAAGATCTCTTGGCAAATATTGAAACCTCAAAAGATTGTAACTATATACTTTCCTAGAAGTTCTGCCCGCCTCCCCAAACAACTTGCCCTCTCACACTATATACACTGTGCAGGAAGATCATGCTCTACACACTATACACTGTGCAGGGTTAAGCCATGTGGGGGTTCAAATGTAGTGTACTTCTGTGCCATTCAGTAAAAAGCCACAGCCCTGAGCCCTGCTATAGCTGCAGGCCCCCTGGCCCCCTCCCAGGACTACCTGGACTCTCCGTGATCCAAAACACTTAAAGTTGAAGGCCTAGTAAGCAGAGGGGCTCCAGGATCCTACTTCAGTGCCGAGACTGTCATCCATTCTGATTAGTTGGTCCCGTGCCATTCATCCAGTGGTTAAACCTTATAAACATTACCTTGTAATCGTGGCTGGAGCCTTGAAGACCTTGCGTCTGAGCAGGGCAGTGTCCTGGGTGCCTTAGGACAGTGCCCACACATTCACCTTCCTTCCAGAGCAGTTTGAGGGTGGGCTGACTCCCCAGTATCACTTATACATGGAGCAATGGAACTGGTCTTTGGACCCCAAATATATTTTTCCCACCCACCACTTATAATCCAGCCTTTTGGATTTTAAAGGATTTGGGGGAAGAAAAGTAAGGATGTTGGTGTTCCCTCCTGCTAGACACAGGCATTGTGGGAAGAGTCTTATCTTGAGGCTACAACACTGAACTCATGAGATAGCATCGAGGCAGGACTAGGAGGAAGGAATAGAGAGCATCTTGGCAGGAAGGAACCAAAGATATGTATGTCTCCGTCATGGAGTACTTGATTTCTACCATCAGTGCTAGGCTTTTCCCAAAGCATGCTTGGTAGACGTTTAGAGCTGTCTTCAGGACTTCATCTCAGGGATGACAAATCATACATTGCATGAAGGATTTAATCAGCAGAAATGGCTGAAGAAAGCCATTCCAAGCTATGTCTTAAGCAACCAACTAAGTTTGAACATTTAAATTATGAACAAAATTTTGGCACAACTCTAAAGAAGTAATAAGGGTAATTTGCTTGTGTGTGCCTGTATGTGATCTCTGAAAACATTTTCCTAAAATGGATTTCTTGTTGTACCCCATAGATGTCTCAAATTTCATTGGGCTAGTGGGGAAGGAGCAAGGGCATATATAATCCAAGAATGAATGATATCCTTTTTGTTCAGAGCTGAGTGTTTTTGTCATTTCAGATTTATTTTATTATTATTATTGTCATTATCATTATTATTTTACCTTGGTTAATGTTAAACCATTTGAACTGTTTGAGTTGGGGAGGAGGTGGTGGGGAGGAGCTCCAGAACATACTGAATAGTTGGAAAAATTGTTTTTAAAGTTAATTGTATTCACTGGGTAATCGACATGTGCTTATCTCAGACTGAGACTGTGAGTGTGTGTGTATTTGAGGTTGGTGGGATGGGGCTGGCGTGTAAGACAGAGCAAAAGAGCTGCAAAGACAACTCCAAGAAGCAGCATGATTGAGTGATGTGATGTGGCCAATGATTATTTACACCCGGAACTAAATACAGAATGTTGTATCTCTAAAGATTCCAAAGGTTTTCCTAAAAATATAACCAACAACAGGGGGAAAAAAAGATACCCGGATTCCAAGGATCTCACGATGGTGCTGAAAACCTATGATACCAGCTTCCTGGACTTTGTCAGAAAGTGTTTGATGTGAGTTTGTTGGGGTCTCTTTCCCTCTGGGTTTCTTCTTTAAAAATACTATACTTTCACATATTTACTGGTGGAAAGCTAAGGCTGGGAGATAGTTATAAAGATAACAATAATAAATGCTAGCGAGAAAGCTTTAAAGTCTACAAATTTCTTTCACATCTCTTGTCTTATTAGACACCTCTCGGGCAGATGATTCGCTCTGTTTTGCAGATATGAGGGCTGGCGCTCAAAGAGATTAAGTGACTTGTCCCGGATTACACAGTGTGTGGGCAGAGTTTGTCATCTTCTTGGCCTCAAACTGCCTGGCAGTGGGATTGCAGGCTAGTCCTAGATGTCTTCTGCTTCCATGAACTAAAACCACCCTCTTCGGCGTGTCTGTTTAATGGTTTGCACACACGCGCAGTGTAAATTGGTTTTAGGGCCCCTCCCCAGGCCCCTAGGATTTAGTGCCCAAATCCTCTTGTATTTAGGGAGTTAGGGGAAAGGTGAGCTGTAAACCATGTACAACTTTTTACAATCTTTATGCATATTTTGAATCTTAGAAATTAGGTCTGTACTTAAATCATAGTAAACAAAAAAAAAAGTAACACATAAAGCACCCGGCACAGTGTCCAGTTTGGAAGGTGTTAAGAAAGTGTTAGCTGTTATTACTATTTTACAACTTTTAAAGAGATTTTGCAAGTCTATCTCCACTGAGTGGCAAGTAGATAACCTATACGATATTTGGCAAGTCATTGTTTCTCTCTGGGCCTCAGTGTACTTTTCTAGAAAAATGGGGTATTTCTAAGGTCCCTTCTAGCTCTAACAGTCCTATAATTGCTTAGTATTTTTAGAAGACCATATCTTTATATCCTCTCATTCTTCCAGTGGGCTGGAGCAGTTTTAGCAAAAGACTCTTCTGGCATTTGTGCAGTCCAGGATTTAGATACTAGCTCAGAGGGTGAACCATCAGATCAGGTATTGCTGAAGGGATTCTCATCTTGGGAGCCGTGCTATTTATTAATCTGAATAATTGAGGTAGAGAAGGATTCTGTACCTCACCTTTACCCCTACCCCACCTCAGCCTCTTACTGAGGCTATAGAATGAATGTGCCTCAACAAATGACAGAAACTGACCCTTGAGACAGAGGTACATTATCTAGAAACCCCACCCTTCTAGAACCCAGCTCAGCACCAAAGAAGACAGTATTTTCTTCTTTAGCGTAAAGGACTGATTGCTAACTTGCAAGAGGCAGGTTAACAGCTGATGGGGACTGTTACCTTATCCATATGTTGCTAACAGCAAATCTTTAAAGTGAGAGACTAAAAGTTTTGAGCCAAACTCGATAGGTGTAAATGTAAATCCCTGTGTCTAAGCTTTGTAGGAGCTAGACTGTTTTATGACTTTGATGAGTCTAGAATGTTAATACTGTCTCCCTACAGTTAGAAACTATTCTAAGCATGATGGACATCAATTGGACAACAGCTGAAATTTCCTATTTTGGAAAGTGATCAGATGGTGAAAACCATATCACGTGATCAAGTCGGTAGTGATGTACATGTTTTCAGGTGGTTGAAGGACTGTAACATAAAAGAAGGATGAGTTATTTTATTTTATATAATGCTAATGAGTAGAATTAGAACCTAGGTAAAAGTTATTGGGAGGCAAACAAATTTTAGCTCAAAAAAAATGAAGAACTTTTAAGAGAAATTTGAAGGCCAAAATTCTGTAGTTTGGAAATTGAAATTAAGCATCTCTGTGTTTTTAACCTTCTTAACTTACCAAATCCTAAATCCCATTGGTTAAAATTTTTTATAACATTTCTTATATGGGAATCTCTAGGAATTCTGGAAGACTTGGATTCTAATATATTCCCCTGGATCATTAGACAAATTTTCTAAAAAGATTATTTCCAATAGATGTTTCCAGGTACTTTTAAATTAGATGTCATAATCTCTGTTCTATGATGATATCTTTGACATATAGCTTAAATAAAAACATTTCAGTGTTTCAATATTTAGAAAGGAAGTAAAACAGTAACTGGCATTGGGATTTTCGTTGGTGTGCAGATGGGAACCTTCTCTTCGAATGACCCCTGACCAGGCCCTCAAGCATGCTTGGATTCATGAGCCACGGAACCTCAAACCACATCCCAGGCCCCAGACCCTGAGGAAATCCAGTTTCTGTTACCTCTCTGAGACAAAGAAGGACAAGGTTCGAGGGTATCATCACCCGAGCAAAAAAGGTACAGCCCCTCAAACAGCCAATCCTGTTCCCATAGTCCAGGGAGGCAGGCATTTCTGGAGGATTGGCACGTCAACTTCTTTGACCTCAGCCTTGGGTAATTCTTCTGGCTACATCACTGCTAGCCTGCCATTTCTATCCTTGGGGATTTTCCTCCTTCAGGAAACTTGGCTTTAGTTGGGCTCCTCTTTTTTGACCCTTATCATTAGGATTTTCCATTGTTCTCTGTATTCAAATCCCATTCTCTTCCTTCCCTTTTCTTGCACTGGGTCCACCCCTTTATGCCCTATAATGACCTTTTGAATTTTTATCAATGACAGATTATAGCATCATGTAATCTTTTTGGCAATATAGCCTAGTGGTTAAGGACATGGTCACTGATGTAGGTTGCCTGGGATTAAATTCTGGCTCTATCATATATCAGGTTGTGGGCCATTGGGCAATTTACTTAACCTCTGTATCTCATGTATGAGAATAATACCTATTCTCCAGGGTTGTTGAAAGGATCAAATGAATTAGTAAATGTATAGTGCTTAGAATAATGCCTGGCACATAGAAATGTGCTTAACAAATGAATTGGTTTTATATTATAACCATGATTTCCCCAAAGCGACTTATAGCCTAAAGGACAGTTCGAATATAATTCACATTCTAACACTTGTTCCTTCTGTCTTCTCTCTCCTTCAGCAGATGAGATTGCCAAAGATGCTACAGAAAGAATAAAAGACAGCACCACCGAGCACGTCCAGAATTCAGGTGGCCGGCAGGGCTCTGTCCAGCTGCCTCACCTAGCAGAGGCACCCGGGAAGGCACAGACGGCTGGGCTAGAGGTGTCCGTGACCTCCACAGAACAGACCAGAAACTCCTCCCCCAAGAACACAAACATTCTGCCACCTATTGTATGACCTTTGCTGAGAGGGTGTGTCCTGTTCCTTTCCACCAGTGATTTGTATTAGAGACAGCACTTATATTGTACAATACTTCAGATTGTTGTTTTTTAATACATAAAAGTTTGTTTTAAGAAAACAAAACTCTATTCACATGGCCCATTGGTGTGATTCCTCTTAAGAGCAGTGCAGCAGGATGTCCTGCACTTAAACCCACTCCTTATGTGTTTGTGTGTGTGTGTGGGGGGGTTAAATTATAATATTATAATATCATTAATGGAATTCTAAATAAAAGAAAAAAATTTTCTTCTTGCCCATGACTGTCAATCTATGTCAGTCAGGATCTTGTTCGAAAATGATAGAAGCTCAGTTCAAACTAGTTCAAACAAATTGGATTTGTTCAAACAAATTGCTTCTGTCTATGGTTGACTTCATTCTGATGGCAGGCTCTGCCCAGAAGTTAGGATGGCCACCAGCATCCAGTCAAAAGATGCAGTCTTCCTTGCCAGCAGGACAGTCTCAGAAATGACTGTGCTTACGCCGGTCACTGTGTCTGAGAGACTGGGATCCTCTGATTGGCCAGGCTGGGCCACAAGCCCACACTGTGCTGGAGGGGAAGCACTGGGACTGATGCCTTTCTAGACTGGAGCAGGGAGGGGAGGGTTTCCCAAAAGAAGGGAAGTTGAGTAAACAAGCAGGATATATTCACTTATCTACCACACCCCAAATCTAATCATATTCTCTTATTTCCCTTTCTAGTCCTTATCTACATAAATATACAATTTCTATATGGTTGTAAATCATAGGGCAGATAGAATTTTACATGAAACTTAAGATCATAACATTGTAAACAGCAGAAAATACACCTGGCATCATAGTTTCCATTTTAACTGCAGCCCAGCATTTCATAAAGGGAGCTGCCCGGTAACTGGAGCCATAGGTTTGGATAAGCCCGACCAGGGAAGATGCTGCAGAGTGGCAGTAGCAGGGGTCAAGGGAAGACAAACGCAGAAGGAGTGGACAGAGTTGAGTAGACCCCCAAGAGACCTAGAGAAATAGGAAGAAAATTAGAAGCCAAAAGAGGAGAAAGTTTCTGAAAGGAAAAAAGGGTTAAGAATATAAAATTCCACAGAAAGGTCAGGGTAAGAACAGAAAATACCAAGTGGGGTGATATGGACATTAAGTCAAAGCAATGCCCTAAGAGGTAACTTGTCCCATGATCTATAGCCAGAAAGTGGGTGGGCCCCATAGCTAAGTGGTTAGAGCACTGGTCAGAAACCACAGAAACAGCAGAAGAACTCAGGTCTTGGGAACCTTTCTCACGTGACATTCGACCGTGGGTAAGGTGGAGGTGGACGGCTGCTCTGCAGCTCTACAAAGACAGGACAACAAGTCGACTCCTCAACATCATAATTAACATATTTTGATTGGATATTATAAATTATTTTCTAATTTTCCTGGTTGTAAAGGCTGAATTTAACCCTTTTTCATTTCAGCTTTTACAGCCAGGAAAATAAGAAAATAATTTCTAACATCCAATCAAAATATGTTAAATGAATAGTTTAAATGAGGGAGCTGCAAATTGTGGCACAGAGACAGGGGATACAAGAGAACAGGCTAGTGACCTTTGGCAGTGCCTCTCAGTCCAGCACTATTTTGCCTCTGCCACCATCTGATTATTAATATTCTTTCACTCTTGAGATTTCTTTACTTCATTGTCCCATTGGATTCCAAGGAAACCAAACACCGGGAGCCCTTTAATTGTAATTTTTTAATTTTATGTCCTTGCTCGCATGGACAGGAAAATCTGCAAAATCCAGTGACTAGCATAAGATGGCATGTCTTTGATGTGAGTGGTATGAAGATAATGTGAGGGCTCTGTGAGGATGTGGGGGGGAGCTGTGGAAGTGAGAAAGAAGGGAAGGGATAAGGGCCGGGCCCACTGCCGGGAGAGGGGAAAGCAGTGGGTGGGCGCCGATCACAGGTTCACCATCAGCCAATCCAGCAGCTGCAGCCGTGTGACATTTCCCACCGCCTCGTCCAGCTGTCGCTCCTTCTCGTAGCGCAGCACGGATTGCAGAACCTCACCCACGCTGCGTCCTTTGTCCACAGCAGCGGCTGAGAGCTGGAGTAGCTGTGGAAAGGAAAGAAAACAGTAGTGGAGGGGGCAGCATCCCGCGGCAGCCAAGGCTAGGACAAAGAGGCCAGGCAGGCTTTGGGAAGCTGCAGCAGAAGGGATGCAAATTACATGTTGGTAACACTTAAAGTCTGCTGGCCTGTTTGGCAGAAGAAAGTTGGTGCTATTACCCTTAATATAAAGAAGAGATGTTAACATCCACCTGTCCATGATCTTGCTCTCTAAGAATTCTAAGGTTCTAAGCTCACCCTAATATCATAAAACTGTCTCCATTATTGTCCTAAGACCAAAAACGGCAAGAAAGAAAATGTCCAGTGCTCATATGTGGATGCTGCTTTCTATGCTCCATGTACCAGAGAATCCTAGAATGTCAGAGATCAATTTAACCCTCATGAAAATATTGCCCAGAGAGGTGAAGAGACTCCTCAGAATCATACTGCTAGTAATTAGCAGATCCAAAATTCCCGCTGGGTATCTGAAGTCTGTTTAGTTTTCTTACCAAGTATAAAACGAGAAAAACTATTCAAGCAACCATTCTAATATGAACACAGTACATTGTCATTCATCTGGAATCCTAAAGGCAACAAACTATCTCAAATAACCAGATTTTTATTTTGTGCATTCTGCTCTTGACTTTTTATAAGAGTCAAAGGGCAAATGAACAGACTAAATATCAGGAGCTTTTTCAGAAGGAGAAATGAATATTTCAGAAAATTGAAGTACATATGGATAGTCTTGAGACAAGTGGAAAGACAAAGTCTCAGCAAAGAAATAGAAGAAATAAAGAAGAACCAAATGGAAAATTTAGAACTAAATTTACATACAAAATGTAAAAGAAAAATTTACTGGGTGGGCTAAATAGTAGAATGAAAGATGAGAAAGTCAACAAACTTGAAGGATGATCAACAGGAATTATCCATGCTGAACAACATAAGAGATTAATTAAAGCTCTTTCAAAAAAGATTGGAAAAATCTTTTTTTTCCATACAAAGCTCAGGGACCTGTAGCCAATACCAAAAGGTTTAACATTTACATCATTAGAATCCCAAAAGTAAAGAGAAAAAGAATGATGTAGAAAAAAATATTTGAAGAAATAATGGTTAAAAGCCTATCTTATTTGTTAAAAGATGTACACCTATAGAATCGAGAAGCTAAAATAAAAAAGAAACTTAGTGTACCTAAAACAAACCCAAAGAAATTCACTCCCAGACTTCACTCCCAGACTATCATAATCAAATTGCTAAAAACTAAAGAATATAAAACATCTTGAAAGTGGCAAAGAAAACCAATGAGTTACCTACAGAGGAACTACAATTCAAATGACAGCAGATTTCTCATCAGAAACCATAGAGGCCAGAAGGAAGTGGCGCATTTTTAAAATGCTAACAGAAAAAAACCTACCAAATCAGAATTCTATATCCAGTAGAAATATAATTCAGGAACAAGGTCAAATAAAGACATTCTCAAATTAAAGAAAACTAAGAGAATTCATGGCCAGAAAATGTATTCTAGAAGAATTACTAAAAGAACTTTTTCACAGAGAAGGACAATGATAACAGAAGGAAACTGGGAACATCAGGAATGAAAGAAAACCAACAGGGACAGCAAAACTCTCAGTAAAAATAGTAGACTATCCTCTTCCATTCTTTAAAATATATTTTATGGCTGAAAGCAAAAGTAAAACTGCTGAGGGTTTTTTCAATGTATGGAGAGGAAATACATAAGACAACTGGAATATAAAGGGGGAATGGTAAAGGAACCTATATGGCAGTAATATTTCTGTATTCCAGTTTAAATGGTAAACTGTTGCTTCTACATAGACTCTGAAAAGTTAAGTATGTGTATTATAATTTCAAGATAAACCACGAAGCCCCCCCAAAACTACACAAAGAGATATAGTAAAAAAATAAAATAGATAAATTAAAAATGGAATTCTAAAAAATGTTCAAACAACACAAAAGAAGACAGCAAAGGGAAAACAGCAAAGGAAAAAACAGAGAGAAGAAACAGAAGCAAAAAATAAAATAGTAGACTTAACATTAAATTGGGCTAAATGTAAACAGTCTAAACACACAAATTGTCACAATGACCAAAAATATGACCCAACTGTATGCTTCCTGCAAAAAACTCACTTGAAATAATAATAATATAAGTAGGTTAAAAGTAAAATTAAAAATGAAAAAGAAGTACCATGAAAACACTAATCAAAAAAAGACATGAATCTAACATTTATGGTCAATTGATTTTTTTTTTATAAAGGGGATGAATGATTCAGAGAGGCCAGATACTCAACAAATGGTACTGAGTCTTTTCAACAAATGGTACTGAGATACCACATGAAAATAATAAAGTGGACCCCTAGCTCACATCATACACAAAAATTAACTCAAAATAGATCATGGACCTAGATATAAGAGCTAAAATTATCAACCATTTAGAAGAAAACAAGGAGAAAATCCTCAGGACTTGGGATAGGTCAGAGTTTCTAAATCTCAGCACTATTGACCGTATGGGCCAGATAATTCTTTGCTGTGGGGCTGCTCCTGTAAACTGTAGGATGTTTAGCAGTGTCCTTGGCCTCTAACCACTAGACTCCAGTAGCAACTTGTGTTGTGACAGCCAGATATATCTCCAGACATTGCCAAATGTCCCCTAGAGGAAAAAGTTGCCCCCAGTTGAGAACCACTGGGTAGGCAAAAATTATTCAGATATGATAGCAAAACCACAAGCGACAAAGGCAAAAAATAATTAGACTTAATTATTAAAAACTTTTGCTCTTCAAAACACTCCATTGAATAAAAAGACAAGCCATAGACTGAGAGAAAATATTTGCAAATTGTATTATATTAAGGACTTATATCCAGAATATATAAAGAACTCTTATAATTCTAAGCAAGAAGAAAACAACCCAATCAAAATATGGGTAAAAGATTTCCATAGATATCTCACCAAAGAATATATATGAATGGCTAATGAGCACATAAAAATATGTTCAATATCCTTGGTCATTTT